AGCCGCCATCTTGCCAACAAGCATACTGATTGATAAGGCAATACGTGGGCAAGTTGGAAGATACAGCCGCTAGAAGGGAAATGATCATCCAAAATGAAAAGCCAACAGCAAACAGTCCATCCAGATCATCAACAAAACTAGTGGGCGTCACGTCACTGGGGGCGGGGCGTCACGCGGGTCCTGCTCAGCAACCACAGCACCTTTCGCCGTGGGAGGCCACACATCGCTTCCTTGGCAGCCAAGTAATTGCTCCGTGTGGCGCAGGTTCTCCCCCGATGCGAAAATTCCTTATCGTAATCGCTTCCTTAATCCAAGAACGAATTCGCGGGCAAAAACCACCGATAATGAAGTTGTAGGTGAAAAGTTGACCAATAATGAAAGAAAAAGTGAAAAAAGACGTCGAACAGGGACTTAGACAGGGACTCCCCCTCTGCCGCTTAGCAATGGAGGAAGACGCTCGTTGGACGAGTTGTCTGAACATGCCCGCAGTGAATGCGCGTAACCAGCAATAGCTCACTACTTGCCAGCACGTGCGAAACAGAAGTCGAACTAATTCTTTGATTATTTCCCCCTAAAATTTTCTAATTTCTGTGTTTTTACTCAAACCTAACTACTTTGTTTGCCAGCAACTGCAATTGGGGCACAAAAATGAAATCGTTTTATGTTTTGAAGGTAGAAGGAAGAAAACGTAGAAATCTAGCGTGGTCGGCATCATCGCATCGATTGCTTTGAAGGATCGACCTCAAATAGTCCCGGGTGCTAAGTGGGTTGGGGGGGGACCACGCGGCGACGCGGCACTCTGCGCGCCTGGCACTCTCTCGAGCGAAATAGCGCTTAGCCTGAGTCCAGGAGAGAGGCTCATGGGTTTCCCGGCATATTTCAGGCGGGAAATGGGTTTCAAATGGGGTAAGGTTGTCTAAGAGGAGCAGTAAGTAGGATTCTCATAAGGAAGGCATGGATTTTGCTGCAAATTTGCTATCTTTGCGCAATTCACGCTGGTTTCAACCTGGCCGCAGTTGGCTGCGATGACGAAGGAGGAGTTCGACGATTGGCTTGCTGAATGAGGACTCCTGTGGAAGAATCGCCCATGTCCAAACTGCGGAAATACAAGGAAGGTCACCAAGCAGACATGCTCCAGTGGCGAGGATGGAAGATTTAAGTTCGAGTGCACCCTCCGCTCGTGCCGGCAACCTGGAGTGAACAAGAAAGTTGGCTACCTCAAGAGCACATTTTTTGAGTCCTTGCACGGCGATTTTTAGCCAGCTACTTGTTCGCTTACGATCTAGGCACGACTAAGGAAATGGCTCGAACCCTCGAGGTGGACGAGCAGACCGTCCAGCAATGGAGTCAGTGGTTTTGAGATGTGCTCGTCGAGTTCTACACAAACAATGTTGTACAGATTGGCGGACCGAACACCGTCGTGCAGGTCGAAATCAACATCGTGCGCCGTAAGTACAACGTTGGCCGTGTCGTTCGCAAGGATTGGCTCGTCGGTGGAATCCAGGACGGTACGAAGCTGGCCTTCATCGAAATCGTCGATAGGCGCGACGCTGCTACCCTGGAAAGGATCATCCAGCAGCACGTAACCCTAGGAGGAACCGTTCGGACTGATATGTGAAGTGGTTACAATAACCTCTCCAATCTTGGTTACATCCACGAGACGGTCAACCACAGTGTGAACTCGTCGATCCAGCGACTGGAGTCCACACTCAGCGTATTGAGGGCTTGTGGTCTATCCTGAAGGACAGGATCCGCAGACGCACGGCCTCAGAGGCGATCTCTGGGATGACCACTTCTTCGAAGTGTTGTGGAAGTGGCAATATCACAGCGAGAGCCTTTCATACGAACTGTGGCGGCTTATCGATCCAGTACCCCATCCGCTGATGGAACTAACCCAACGGCCCTCTTTAGGGCCACAAAAATGCACTTTGAACGAATACGAACGAATATTCTGATGAATAAATGAATATTTAACTCTCCTCGATTCTCTGGCTTACCTATTGTGACACTTAATGAAGTAACACCTCTATTTAAGGCTTAAGATGAGCATAGAAGAAGGGTATCATAATTTGCAATCTTACCAACGAGTGCCAAAAGTTAGGTTGGGTCTCATCCAGTAAGGCGAGGGGGCATGTGGTGTGACAGTTCTTGCGGCTACAGAAATTCCAATTTTTGCAAAGGGAGGGAATCCCCGGGGTGCGTGAACCATTTCGCTTAAACTTTTACACCCACCCCGGAGCTTTCCTCCCTTGAAAAAAGTGGATTCACTTCATGCGATATGAACTGTCGCACCACATCCCCCCCCTTAGTGGATGAGACCCATCAGGCTGTCACAAAATCACAAAACAGATTAGTAAGAGCCCTGATCACTCACCTCCTTCCAGCCTCAGGCATGTGTACTACTCGCTCGATGAGCGAGCGCGCCTAACGCAAAATCATGTGCCACGCGCCGCACGCGGCGTGTCCCGCATCCCCAACCCTTCCTCCACTAGACTACGGCTAGTCCCCGATGGTCGTCCCAAAAGCTGCCGAAGGCTCAAGAGATCCGCCCACTTCGACCTGCGTAGAGGGTCCGGACCTGTCCAAACGCCCTAATTAATAGCGGTTGCACCGACGCGCCGTTGTGATGGCCCGCACTACTCAAAATTTTCCGTACTATTTCCTCATCATAGGCCCGGTCCTTCAGTGTTTTAGTTATCAAGCTGGTGAAAATATAGTGTTTGCGTGATACAATAAGTGTATCGTAAGACGTTGGAGGAACAGGCCAAAACACTCCAACTAGATTCAGAAAACTACCCTGCCCCATGACGAAGTGCTGGATGGCAACAATACCACAGCGTCCGTGCAACAAGTGCTACAGGTGAGTTTCCCCCAATTCGTTACATTTTCCTAATGTACTCAATGACGAGCGAGCTAATGTATGATTCTCCACCCTTAGGATCGAAGGTTGAAAACCTTTGCTTTAAATGTTGACTTGATGGCGTAGAATTAGGCCTCTTCGAAGTCCTTTCCTGGCAAAATTCCGCCTCGTAACCAGTAATTCTTGAACACTTTTCGCCAGAGGGCCCACGCTTAAAAACAGCAGTCGAACCATGCAGATGACCGTCGTAACCAAGTCCGAGTGACACGAAAAAACATGTCGTGGCAAGGCAGATGCTCTGCAATTTCACCCATTGACTAGCCATATCGATAACTCACGACTATCCAAGTTGCCCTACGCTCCTTTATTTCACCTCGCAAGATAAGACTGTAGCAGGCGCTTAGAACGGTCAACTCATCTCGAACAGCATTCTGCACCCAAATATCCGAACAGCCAGCTGTAGGCCTCATAGCTAGACTGGCATGTGTGGATACTGAGACGACAGAGTTTTCGACCCTCTTTTGGTTCATGAACTGGCACAGGACGCGTGCGATTACGGTTTTTCCCCATAATTCGAATAGAGCTCGAATACGACGCTTATGCCAAAGCATGGCCGAAGCCACGAACTTGATCCTTCAATTTCGTTATGACTACAACGTCTGAAAAGCCCAAATTAAGTGGGTTCATTATCTTCCTGATAGGGGAACCACTTCCTTCTAGCGGTTCCACATAGTAGAGAAGTACCAGTAAGTGAGATCTGACAATAATCGTCAAGTGTTTACTATCGGCCAGCTTCGAAGAGCGCTAATTCGCTTCATTCTCCCAACGACAGGCATGTGGGGCGTTGCCAACGGCGGGTCACGATTTTCGTTGCCGTCATCTCTCACCAGTTACGACCGTTGATCTCACGCCATGTTCCGGCTTCTGCTACTTGTCGTTGTCACCTTACTGCTCGACCAATCGTCTGCTTTCGAGGTGGCTCTGTTCCCATCGACTGGCTGCTATAGCCATGATGTGATGATGCGAGAAGTTGGTGAAGCTCTGGGACCGTCTGCGAACGTCACTTGGATTCAGACGTTTATTTTCGATTTTGGATTCGGTGAAATCGGACTGCCGTCGAATTGGAGCCGTATCAGCTTACGGGGTCACGACGACGAGAGTGAGTCTTCCATCACGATGCATTCCTTCCAACCAATAATCAACAACTACTGTTTACTGTTGTTTATTTACTATTTATCACTAAAAAAACAGCTTTCACAATAGATTGCATTCTTCATTTATCTAAAATACTATCACATTCCAACTAAAATTAGAGTTGTTTGCGGTAAGGTTAATGTCAAGTAGTTTTAAAGTGATGAACCTGTTGCCAATCCGGAATCATAACGTTCATGACCTTCAGGGACCCACCCCTGTTGTTGAATGAGGCCTGTCCTTGAGCGATATGTTACAGCACTTTACGGGCAAGGCATGTTCTTCTGGTAACTTCTCTGCGACAACACGCTTTGAAAAAAAAACCGACTTGGTCTTTGACAAAACATTTTATCTGGGTTACGACGCGCTTTCAACCTGCAGTGAGAATTGTGGCATTATTCGGATGGGAAATTTGGCCCAAGCAACAAATTTGAGTCCAGCTAATGCGAGTCATTGCTTTCCAAAATGGCTTTCTTTTGCATTGAATTGAATTTTTTGGAATCCTCTTTTTGCGTCAATGAATTTCCCTGGACTAGATTGAGTGTACTGGACTCAACAGTAATTGTTTGAATTGAATTTTTCCATCGATTTCTTAAGTGTCTACTTTCCCTTTCCCTTGCTCTTTGTGGAACAATAGGTCACCGCGCGACGTTATATACACGCACAGTGACATGCGCGCGCAAAACTTGGTTAGAGCCGTTCGCTCAGCATGCGAACTTATGAAGCCGGCAGGCCTGCCGTAGTAGCTCCGTTAAGAGCGTAAGAAAGGAGAAAGGGTTTCACTCGAGTAGAATGCTGCATTCGCGGCATGCCAGAACATGAGCGACGTCGACGGTGGCTCTAGGTGTGCACATCGCTTTGAGTTGTGGGCCTGCGAAGGGTCAGTGCCTCGCTTCCTCGATCGTCTGTGATTGGCGCTGGAATTTGTCAAACTTCTGCTGATTTAGATTGCGGAGGTTTTAGTAAGCGCTCATACATACTTCCTAATGTATGAAATATAACCCGTGATACCTTAAAGGAATCTTGCGCGGAAAATTCTTGCACTCTTTCCTAACATGAATATGTCAGTTGTGATCACTGGAAATAGCACACAAAGTTTCACGCATGAAGATTCGGTTTCTGAAGAGAAAAATAAAGGATAAAGGATAAAGCATTTGCCGTTGATCAATCCCTTTTTGGGATGCGGCACGCATTCTACTTCCATTTGTACATTCGCAGTGGCATTTGAATGCGATGTGGCCTATACAATGACTTGCGGGGGCCAGCCGATGTTCAAGTCAGTGTTTTTATCCTCCCAGACAAGTCTGGTACCAATTAACCGACCCCGGAGGGATGGAAGGCTTGGTTGGCCCGGGCGACTCACGACCCAGGATTTGATCCCGGACCGCTCGCGTGGTAAGCGCGCCACTTGTCACTACACCACTTCCGCCAAGAGAAAAAACGTACAAAAACTACACGTTATGGACCATCGAAGGACCAGGAGGCAGAGCCAGGCGAGGCATGGAAAGAAGACGGCGTTTGGCCGGCTACGTACCAGGCGACGCAATGAGAGAATCGGGTTAAAGCGCGCGATTTCGGAGAGTGGAGACAAATCGATCGATGGAATAGGATGGAGTAGAAGTGTAAGATGTGAATGCAACGAAGCAGAAGGCCAGAAAGAGCTTCTAGTGAATGCACTCCAAGAACCAAGTTTGAGCATCCCCGTCGCCAGCATTCGTGAAAGACGTCCGTGGGCAATTCGAACGCGTAGCAGCCTTTTCGAGTTTTCGAATTTCTAATCAAAACGAAAGCAATACTTCAGTTCTTTTCACTATTATCGTGGATAATGAGTCTCAAGCCAGTGATTTATGGCTGAAATAGAATCATGATTTTTCCGCGCAAGATTCCTTTAAGTCTAGGTTGAGCTTCCATAAGTGTTGCGATTTCTTCATACTGCGCCTCCTTCCCAACGTGTTTGTGTGTTTTTCACAAGACTACATTGGCGCTTAGTGTCCTTCTCATATTACGAAATTTTTGTCCGTCAGATCCGTCTTCAAAGGAGAAAATGCATCCGTTTCATGTTGCATGCTATTTTACGAGATTCCGTCTGGGCTTCACAGGAGGAGCCATGTTGGTAATATTTGTGATCCGAGAAACAGCTATGGCTGAGGAGCATGCTTGTGAAAGTGGTTTCGGGAAGCTTTCCGCAGGGGACTCAAAACCTGAAGACCGACCCGTAGCGGCCATAGATTGTGAACGCATGGTTCCTTTGCGTTGAGGAGCCCGAGTCTACCCAGGCAACATACAGAGTCATCGAAGGGAACACGCTGCTCAGAGGTGACAACGAGCCCCAATAGGCGAACTTCACGCGAAATGGGTTCCGCTCTCCGATTGTAGGATTGCATCGTTTTCAGGCTCGAACAGTACCACTTTGTGCGTAACGCACAACTGGTGCTCATCAGCAGAATAAGCATTGCCAAAATATCGCCGTGCTGGTGCTTCCTACACACTAAAATTGTTCCATTGCATGGCACCTAACCTACACGGAACGAGGGAATGCCAATACTATACAGAAACTTGGCCTTATGATTTTCCCCGCTCTTCATAATTAATTAGGTGTGAACGAATCAGCAGCTGTCGTTTTGTTGCTGTTTCTTAGCGAGAAAAACTGCAGATGGGAACATACGCACTGCCTGATTCGACGTCGAAGATTACGTAGATCTGTGAGAGAGGTATCCTTTCACTCGCGAATAGATAGAAGACACTCGCTGGCAGCTGTGTAAATATGGCACTTAGCCAAGGTGATTCAAAAGAAAGTTGTGAAATTTTGAATTTTTTTTTGTCAAATCGGCAATTACTTCGACTCAACCATACATTAGTGTAATGGATAAGTACGGTGCCAGTGAAGCACACGTTCAAAGTCGAACATTCTCGTTCACGTCTCAACACCTCTGAAGAAGAAGTTCATAGTATGGTAGTGATTTGAATGTTTTTCTTACTTCATGGGGGGAGCCGCCCAGATAGTTCGTCAGCTGACACCTCCGTCGGACTGGATTCGCACCTTTCATAGGCTGGATTTGGCGAGGAAGGCTTGCAATATTCGTTTTTTGAAACGCTCACCTTTAGCGCAAACAATTAGCTGAACGATCGCTGACGGTGGCTAACTGATTAATTGGTTGCAGAATCGAATCGCATTATGATCAGCTCTGTCGAGAAACCGAGAGTTGTTGTCGTGCCCGTCGCGACAATGGAATTGCGTAACACTAATGCGCCATGTAATCTGATCTCCTTCAGAATATAGAAAAAATTATCTGAATATTTGACAATAGACGGTCGCTTCTTATCGACAGTTTCAGAGTTTCGATTTATCCACTAGCCTAGCATGAGAGCTTTGAGGTATGGTTTAACTATTAATTTAAGCCCGAAATTATTTCGAAGGTTTTGTGTGCATGTCGCTTGACTCCTTTCAATTGAGATCCTTGGAGTATCGGTGAAAGGTTCACAGAAGTTATCATTGAAGTGTCATTGCATTTATGTATTATATCTATTATTTCATTGGTGTTATCATTACAACGCGATGGACGTCGCTTTGAACGGCGCTCCAGGCGTACATCTGCAATTATTTTTGTGCATTGTTATGGTGGGTTTAATGAATCATGGACGAATTTCGTTTTTGACTTATAACATACATTTGGAGAACGTTTGAAATTAGTTGCAAGCGATAGGCGTGTCTGTGAGTGGGTGTCTCAAAAGCAACGTACACTTATGGTGGTGATCCTCTCGTTTTGAGGGTACTTCAAAAAAAACAAGGAAAGTAACAAGGGAATACATGATACATCGTTCACGTGTGAATTGTCTTGCCACAACTATGCTAATGACTAAGCTGGCTGAGCGAACGAGATAAGAGTTATCGCGAAAGTTAGCAGAATTGGGCCACTGTCGATCTTTCAGGTTTTTTGGTAGCAGAGATAGGCGTCAAGCATAGGCGCTGCAAGCAACGAACGGGTCAATGTCTCTCTCAATGAGACATTGCGGTCTATTGTAACAAAAATCGGGCCGTGGCGGCAATTATCCCCGTTGTAGCAGCCCGTTTGAACCGAGGCGGAAGCTGGCGACGTAATCGAACACGAACCACATCTCGCGCACGTAGTATTATAGATACGGTTTTCGCACGGCGATCCAGTAACTTGTGATTACTTTGGGAAAAGGGTGAGTAATAAGGGAATAATCAGCCCAAAAGAACTCTTTAAGGCAGGCCCCGAGATTAGGCTCACTAGTAGAACCGCGCTGCGGGCGAACTTGTTGGGTCCATACCTATAGCAGTGGGTCACCCGTGCGTTGCGCAGATTATCAATTTTTCCGTGGTGGACTCCCCCTTTATCAGAGGGTATGCTGTACGTCGCTGGTTAGCCTTGTGTCCTTTTGCATATTTCAGGTCCATGACCGGTGTGTGGGCCGTCACCGACATGGAGAGGTGGTGACACTGGTAAGGCTCGCGCGCACTGTCTCGCTCAGGAAGGGAACTGAGGCGACATGAGATCACCCTTAGAAATCGCAGATATTTCCACTTTCAAATCTGCCAGTTTTCTCGATCTCTGCAATCTATTTTTTCATAAACTTGAATGAGTTAAACTTGCGGCTACGTATTGGGCGATAGAATCTCAAGGTTATATTTTTTCAGAAGCGGTCTCATGAATGGGACACCAAAATTTAAAAACTTCAAATAGTTTTCTTTCCAAAAAAGTTTGAAATGTTGCAAATGTTCAATTCTTCAAAAAATCGTCCCGTTGTTCCGTTTTTTGTGCACACGCGAGTTTTCGACATTCAAACGTTCATAACTTTCTTCATTATCAACTTTTTGCAGATTTTCAAAGCTAATTAGAAACTAGAAGATTGACGCTTTTGAAAATATCAAGATTTTTTTAAATAACCACTCTTTCGAAAAATAGTCCCGTTGTTCCGTTTTTTCCTCCATGATTTTTTAGGCCA